GGGGGGGGGCCACGACTACTACTACTTTCTCGGGGTAGCACAGGATCTTTCTTTAAGGTCCTCGTAGCACAGGAGCCTTCTTCAAGGCACTCGTAGCACAGGATCCTTCTTTAAGCAGGGTTTGAGGATGGGGGGGGTGGCCACGACTACTACTACTTTTTCTAGTTCGAGGGGGGGGACACGACTACTACTACTTTCTCGGGGGCGTCCTGAATCAATAGGCCAATAAACCTTCATCGTAAAACTGTTTCAACCCTTCAAAGGTTTGAGCTCTTTTTGTTGGGCATCTCTACATCCCAGTCCTCTTGATCCCCAACTTCTTGACACCAATCTTCACAGCAAAACCTTTGAACCCATCTTGCCAGACAGTTTGCCAGGAGAAGCTTTGCTACTCAAATTGCGGGCAGGGTGGGCGCGTCTGGGATATGTCTTTGTGGTGGTAATCTTGGTTGTGGCGTTGAGGCTTAATTTCGATAATGTGACTACTTTAGGAGGAAGAAAGTTACTTCTTCTTACCGCGTCCTACCACAGCTATGTGGATCAGCCGCGGTATTCGCGTGGCCAGTGTGGACCATCAATTGCTGGGGGTTGTTTGTTTAGCAGTCAAGTGCAACGCCTCCCAGTAGATTGAGGCCCGACCCTGCGCTCCGTGAGTTTGGCAGTGCTGAAACCTCCCCTGGTGGACGCCATCACGAAAGGCTGCAAACAAAGCAAATGGCGCTCCTCTTGGCCTCTTGGCAGGTGCCACTGGACCAGTTGTTCATCTACAAATCGGGACCGCAGGAGCCAAAGATGACACGTGGCCTTGATGTGTGTGTGTCAAGGAAAAATGGACTTGCTATGGGGTATCACAACCTCATTGAGCGGTTGCCTTGTGACTGGACAGAGCGCCTTCGACTTTGCCAAATTCAACGCCTCCAAGGCATTGATCTTATTCTTGGGTTGTGACATGTTTTGACCGAGTGTATTGGGGGTCAATCTTGCACAATGCTGACGTCTCCTTAGCTTGTATAGATGATCCTTTAGATGTTGCCGTTTTAGGACTTGCATTTAGCTACTTGCTTGACTCGCAGCCATGGGCATTCATTGTAGTCCCTTTGCCCCTTTACTTTACCTTCTTTGGTGCTTTGCTGGGGTATTCAGGTGTCCCCTTGTTCGCGCATTTTTGTCACACTGAACCTATCACCTGACCAGACTTGGCCCCTCATGTTTCATGTCCAAACCGCTGCGTCTCCCTTTCCTTGCCACCTGTGCCAGGCACCGCCCTCTCTCGAACATGGTCTGCTAGTCGATGCTAGTGGGGTGGGGAAGTAGCATCGAGAATCTTGACCAAAACAATGTCGGCATCGCTAGGAAACTCAATAGTCCGTATTTAGCATTCAGCTCTCCAACACCAAACAATGCAAGCTCCTCACCTTCATCTTGTCACAGTTCCTCAAATGACCAAACTACGCCATACTGGAGACAATGCCATTGACCTTGTTTGAGCATGTTTGAGCGTGTCTTATGGCCTCATCATCGGTTTCAAACTCCAAAGGTGCACTTCTTGTCCTGGCATTAACTCCGTCTGAAGGCATACTTCATGAGATTGTGCAAGGAAAGGCAACTATCCAGTTGTCGCTCACTTGAATTTGAAACAAAAATCAACTTAAATGTCAAAGTTGGACGGCATGGCGTGACCCTGGGACCACCATAGACGTTTGCCAGCCCTTGGAAGACTTGGACTTTCTGACCGTTCAGTCCAGCTAGCAGCTTAATGACCCAAAAATACAACTGATGCAAGGCATCAAAGATGCACGGAAAGCCTGAATCAACACTTCTGGGTTCCCTTCTTCGATCTGCGAAAAGCGGCGTGTCATAGACAGCACTGGAAAGGCAACTGTCCTCAAAGTAACTACTCTAGCAGCTACTCTAGCGAAAAGTATTCAATTCAACCTTTTCACCTTGTGAAAAAATGCAACTCTCAAGGGCGTGGCCATGCCCGCAGATTGGTTGAAGAGTCGCTGATCAAACATGACCTCTGAGCTTCTGGGTTGCGCTACCTGCAGAACTCTTTGAAACACAAGGCTCCGAGTGACTTGCACTGTCTCCTGAGATCATTGAGTTGCGGGATTTGTGAGAGTTCAAGTGCACTCCTGGCCAAGAGCAATGCGCTCTGAAATATCTCGATCTTCCTCCTTCCTGCGCATGTTCCTCTTGCCTGGACTCATACAGATCAAGAAGATGGCACAAGATTGTTGAAAAAATCGTCCAAGGCAAAATCAACTGTTCCAACTTTCTCTCTATGCCTAGCTCCAAACGGTGATCTCGCTCTATCTGGCGCTCCCTTTCTTTCAACACCTGGGATCCAAGGATAAGCGTTGCCCTGCAATGTAGACTTGCAGCGTCTCTACTTGTGAGACATTGTAGGCCTTCATGCGCTGTCGTCTGTCTTCTGCATCTTCAACACTCTCTCCATCTCTAGCTGGCCTTCGCAAGGCAAAACAAAAGTTTGCCTAAGGCACAAAGCAGTGCGGGTAAGCCATCCACGCAGCTGCAAGTGCAGCTCGGGTCTGCCTGGCCTCGAAACAATTCAAAAGCCTTTCAGACCCGCCACGCAGATTTTGCATGCTAATGGGCCACGGAACCTCACAGTGACTGACCTGTTTGCGTTTGTGTTGTATTTCCACTCTACCTTGTGCGCAAGCTTGCCCTCGGCCTGCGCAGCCAAGTCTAGCAGCTGCTGCTCTCGGATCTTCTCGTCACGGACCTGGTCACATCATGCACTTCCAAACTTGCCTTGCCCCTCCTGCTTCATCAATCAAAAGCATATTAGCCGCAAAATATGTATACTGTATATATATATATGATTCCCCTTGTGGACTGCAAAGGGGTCCCTCACACTGGAAATTATTTCTGAGTGGGAATTTTTATCCAATGCTGCTAACCCCTGAACATCACCACACAGTAAGCCATGAAGATACAAGACAGAGTGCAATGACCTGTAAATTAAGTCCTAACCCCCTACCTCCAGGAACATGGAGAGACAATTTTCTATTAGTGACATTTTTCTCCTGTCCCCTCACCCCCCTCAAAAACAATTTCCACGTGCAGTAAGAAGAGACGGCGAACTGATGCGGAATGCTGCGTGAAGTAACTGTGGCACGAACACCTACTAAAAAATGATCCCCTTATTTTAAAAAAACATGTGACCCTTTTGGGGGGGGCACTACAGGCATTCATCACAAGCCTACCCCTAGCAGTGCGGATATTTGTCCACAAATTATCCTTGCACAAAACTTAATGTCATTGGACATGGTCAACCCTAATGGACAAAAATAGTTTCACCTTAGATTTTCTGACTTTGTGGTGTGAGTCGAGTCTTTGGGGATGAGTCTGGCTGGGGGGGGTTGTGTATGGCATAGTGGAGAATAGTTTTCCAGAGGAGGAGTCACCCTGGAACAAACATTTCAGTGAAAATGGTCTGCCCCAAAGGACAAAATTTCTGTCACATCAGGTTGTCACCAATTGTGATGTGAGTCGAGTCTTTGGATCTAAATCTGGGTGTGGGGTGGTTGCATGTGGAATGGTGTTGACTTTTGTCCAGATGCACCACTTGCAAGTGGTGAGTGTCATCGGACATGGTCAGCCCCAATGGACAAAAATCTGCTTCACCTTGGATTTTCTGATTTTGTAATGTGAGTCCAGTCTTTGGGGATAAGTCTGCGTGTGGGTTGGAGTGGTGTGGCATTTTTGTCCTCAACTGTCGGCTTTGAATATGGGTAGTGATGGCAACGCAACCTAGTTCATTAACTAATATGGTCAGCCCTCAAGGATATAAATGTTGTGTATTTTGAAATGTGCGTTATCATGTTCATATGTTTGCTGAAAGCGGTCTCCAGCAATGGAGAAAACCCCGGGCCGCCCCGGCCCACCGCCCGCCGGCGGGCTCGCGTCCTTTCAGCTCAGATCTCGAGCCCTCCGCTCTGGAAGGTAAAAAGGTCATCACACGCCGACCAAAAACACGCCATGCTCACATCACCGCACATCCCTGACCTTTTTACTTGCTGGTGTATAGCTGTTGTCCTGGTTGTCCCTGGTTCAAGGTTTGAGAAATCAAAAATCAACATGAAAATACGTTAACATTTATAAATATTGGAAACATTAGTATATATCGATGTACTTGTTTTAAACTAATTTTTGAAAGACAGTTATTCTAAAACATGTATTTTTTAAAACAAAACTTGAAATGCGAAGACAAAATTGATCTTGGGATTTATTGATTTTAAGAAGTGCCAATTCAACGTCATTTTTCATACTTTTTAGTAGCCGGGCCAGTCCACTTAACAAACCGGTTTTTCAATTGTTTGTGGAGTAGCCCAAGCAGTCCAGTTTGACACCAAGCAGGGCTGCTGGGCGAGCCCACACGGCTGTGCTCTGTGCTCGTTTGTTGTCACGTCTCCTGCCCGCAGCTGTATCATCAAATTCTAAACCCGGTCTTTTTCGCTTGCCATGCCTGGCATTGACAAGGAGATGGTTTGTTGGGGCTTTCGGTGGCAAGGCGCCCCATTCTGAAGTTGAGATCCCTGGCAATGTACATTTGAAGGCGATTCTGTAGGCAGGATTTTCGAGCGGGGCATCTTCACTTTCTGGACATGAGACACTAGCATTTCGAGCAGCTCTTTGCAGCACGCGTGGTTTGTCTACTACATGTTACTACATAGCTCTGGGCATGGACGTTGTGAAGCTTTAGTTGCTTGAGAGAATTGTCGCTGTCAACGCGAAGGCGTTGTATGGAAATATCCTCACGAATGTTTTCTGGATTGGCTGAGTGAAAATGGAACGATTCGCACTGAACCTTGCTTCATATTGAAGGGATCAGAAACGGCATTTGTGCATCAGGCTGTTGATTGCTTCTGTTTCCTGACATGGCACATGCTTGAGTCAGTCAGATCCTGCATTTGATTTGCTTGATTGATGGTGGTTGCTGCCACTACTCAGCATGGGGCATGGGGTAAGAGCATGGCCACGACGAAGATGAACAAACATATCAAGTCCTCAAAATTTACAGATATTCACAGTACTAAGTAGACTGTAGGAATATTTAAAACTACAAATCAAATTAGTATTCGTCGAGATGCTTACTGTTTTCAGTTTCCTCATGCAAAGATTTCTTGAATTTTAGCTGGCTGATTGCTCTTGAATTTAATTAAGATGGATCTTGGACTTTCTTGCAGCGAAGACGACGAGCTCATCACTCCTCCTCGGAAAACGTTGGATGTCAATCCAAAGACGGGAGAGAAATCGAAGTCACTCAGTGTTTGATTTAGTGTTTGTTGTTTGTTGTGGAGGGTGGTGGGTTTTGGAGGGTTTGGTTGATTGTTTTTAAGTTGTTTTGTTGTTGTTTTTGGGGATTGCTTTTCTAAATGGATGAGGCTAGTGAAGGAGAAGCCGGAGAAGAATGAAGAAGTCAGCCTGATCCAGTTTTGGAAAAACCACAAGGGATGTCTACGAGAAGAAGCAACGATGAAGTGTGGCATCAACAGCATTGACAAGGACAAGCTTGATGCATCTCAAATGCACCAACTCAAAACTAGTTGGTTGATAGCACTGGAAGATAACACAGGTGTGCATCTTCAGTGCCTTGCTTGCTCCAAAGCAAACCTGGGCTCGTTGTGGGGAAAGGGACGGGTGCCTTTGACAAGTAGTTTCAAAAAAGTTCGATGGTCGATTATTCGGCATAGTCAGTCCAAGACACATGAGCAGGCAGCGCTTTCCTTTCTGGGTGTGGGGAAAGAAGAAATTCCAGGGTGTCCTCCCGTGAAAGACTTTGAAGAGTTGCTGAAGAATATTGGAGATGGACAGTCACTTCGAAAATGTAATGGTCACAGCTCTTCCAGTGACAAAGTTCAACTCATGGCATGGACACTGAAAGAGGCCTTGGCAGAGCGCGACCGCCAGGCTTTGTCACACGCTGAGACCATTTCTTTGGCTCGGGATGCCAGGCATAATCGGCTTTTAGTCCGATTTGCTTGCGTTGACTCAAAGTTTCAGACGGATATGGGCGTCGTTGGCCTGATCAAGGACAGTGGTGACAGGGCTGGGCAAGTGGTTGGTGCAACGCGTGAGGCCTTGAAGCGCCTTTGCACCCCCAATGACAAGCCACCTCGATGGTATTGTGGTCCAGAAGCAACCCTTGATGCAGGCTTGATGAAACATATTATGGACAAGACAGAGTTGATCACTACAGACGCTGCTGAAAATGAACTTGTGGCTGGGGACGTTGGAAGGGGGCGACGCAACCCTGAGGTGGAAAGCGATTTAGCCACTCCACTTTTCCCAAACATGAAGTTGACTGCCCGTGATGCTCCCCACTCGCTCCGAATGATCTTTTGGCCCTATTTAGCACATTATTTTCGGTTCTGAGTAAAGAATTTGTGATGTGTTGGGTCATCAAGCAGTTCATCAAGTTTTTACTTTAGATTCTTCGGTCAATGCTATCTTCCATTTGTCTTGATCGTCTGATCTATTTCAAGGAAGTGTTTGAAGCTTTTGCGCTTTGTTTTACGCTAAGGATCTTGCCCAGGCCATTTCGTGCAGATGATTATCTTGAGTCCTGCGCGCAGTCGATCGTGCTGTCCAAGCAGTCAATTGTCCAGCGAATCTTCCACTCTCCCTTGTTTGCTTCTTGGTTTGAAGCTTTCACCGAGAAACAGGATGCCACCATGTCGCTTGGCAAAGGCGTCAAGAGCCTTCGCGCAGCCAAACACAGATTTGAAACCCTAGCAACGCCCACTGGAAGGGCTATGCTATGGTTTCCATCCATTTTGGCGACAGCAACCAAGATCGTTGCCGAGAGAAAGGACACCGATACTGGCCGAGAAATCCGTGCCTGGCTTGAGCAGCTGTCGCTTGCATGTGATTAAGGGTTTTGCATACTGCTTTGCATGTATGATGGAGATGAATATATCTTCACTGTAAATTTTAAAGGGTTGTCTTTGCGTTAGCCCAGGTCCAGTGAGGAAATCCTTCAAACTGCCCTCATTGCAGACGCAGCTGACGAAGGGCTGCTGTTGGTTCGAATGGTGGGCGACGAAGAAGTAGATTCAACCATGATTGGGACCTACGTTGCCAATTTCACTCAGCGAATACACGCTTTGTTCAATGAGTCCAAGGTTTTGACAACCCCAGGCTATACTCAGCACATCTTGAACGTGTTGAGAAATGATGAGCTCATTGTTTTTGTAGGGGGCCAGAAGGGTGCGGCCACCATCGGACGCTGTTCTGCAACGGTGCTTGGGTCGTATGAGGGCTTGGGTCAAGCTTTCTCTCCAAGTCGTCCAAACAGAATTTCCCTGTTACAACATCTTTGCATCGTTCGGCGTGTTTGCACTTGGCAAACGTGGGGGCTCAGCAGCTGCAATGCAAGAGGGAGACGCCCTTGAGAGTTCCTTTGCTGCGTGTAATTTTGAAGTCCCGAATTTTTCCGTACAAGTTTCACTACACAAGTATCAATGGTATAATAATATGTAATATTGCTTTTGACTGACCTTTCGTCTAAGGTTTCCAGCGGATTGCACAGTTTTTTGAGCTTGACGCCGACGCTTTGAAAGAGCAGGTTGGGAGACTCAAGCCCTTGGCTGTGCAGCATCAGGTCAACACAGGCTGTAGCGCCCGTGAAGCGTGGACCTTTGCGCTGAGCCATGCACAGTCCAAGCAAAACCTGAAAGAAACATATCTTGGGAAGGATATTTGCCAGGCAATGTTCCGTGTTCTAGCTTGGCAAGCTAGCAGTTTCTGAGTGGAGCAAAACTTTTCGAAGGCTAAGAGA